CCACGCCAGCAGGTCGGCAGGAACGGCCTCGTGGAGGCGCGTCGGATTTGACAAGGGCAGGATTATTGGCCTGTCGACATGCGACGCCATCGCACGGACGACCTCTTCTGTAAAGGCCTTTGGAACCGTTGATGTCCCGATGAGAACGTTGGGCTTGACTTCTTGAACCACGCCGAGGAGATCTGTCTGCTTCCCCTCCCAGTCTTCATGGGCCTTGACGAATCCCCTTTGCGCGCTGGAGACCTTTTCTGCCTTGGTGGTGAGCAAGCCCGGCTTGTCAATCAGCCTTTCCTGGTTAGCCACGGGTTGACAGAGGGGTTCGTAGGACGCACCAGATCTGCTTTGCAGCTTCCTCCTTGCTGATGCCGCGCTCCGCCGCGATCGCGTCCCGGACCTGGTCCGCAATGCCAACGCCCGCCGTCCCAGCCCCGAAAATCACCAGACGGAGATCGCTCAGTGACTGTTTGGAGACATTGAGACCAGCGAGGATGGCCGCCAGCGTGACACACCCCGTCCCCTGAACGTCGTCATTGAAGCAAGGGATGTCCGGACGGTACTTTTCCAGGAGACGCCGGGCTGATCAATGTTAGCCATGGATGGATGAGACGGGCAGAAAGACTCGCCGTTGTCGAGGCCAAAGTCCTCAAAGTGAATGTACGCCTTCGGGTACAGCTTTCGCGCCGACTTGACGAATGTATCGACAAACTCGTCGTACTTTTCGCCACGGATACGCTTCTCCCGGAGGCCGAGATACAGCGGATCTTCCAACAACTCGGCGTTGTCGGTGCCGCAATCCAGGACGACTGCAAGCACCCGATTCGGGTGCACCCCAGCGCACAGCGTCGTAAGGACGAGCTTCGCGATCGAGATCAAAATGCCGCCAACGCCTTGATCTCCGATGCCTAGGATTTCCTCGCCATCTGTCCCGTCATCTGCCGTCAGCCACCGATCCGAGGGCAGGATATGACAAGGCCACCTCACCCGTCACGACAATGTAGTCAATGTCTTCGGGTCTGCCCCACTGAGACAGGTCCTGGTAAACACGGTCCACATCGTGGATGTTGAGAAACGCTCCAGCAGGTCGACGGAACAAACGCGAGTAGTTCTGGATGGCGTCTCCCTCGGTCGGGGTGTAGATGACGCTAAACATCTCGGGGAGGTGGTCCTGGATGAGCTGCCTCCATGTCAGATCGGGTGAACGGTTACACCACCGTCACAGCGCCGTCACACCACGTCACGCCTACAAGCGCCGTACCTTGAAGAACAGGACTTCGTTCTGCTCCTTCATCGACGACAGAAACGTATTCTTTGCGAGGTCATCCTGGCGGCTCGAGTACTGCTGATATGCCCGCTGGACTTGCTGTTCCAGCGTCTGGACATTGGGGGGGAGCAGCCCAGAGAGGCCAAAGTCGTGGCGCTCCTGCTTGGTGAAGGCCGAGCCCTTGTTGAAGTAGGGGTGGTTGAGCAAGACGGTGCCTCTCAGCGCGCATTCGAGGGGGCCGCTGGTGCTCAGGGGGAGATGCCCAAACGTGGACTCTTCCTCGCAGTCTCGACTGCCCATTTTGTCGTATTGCGCGGACGACGAGCAAGAATGGTAGATGTAATAAAGCTGGACTTGACACTCGACACTTGTGCAAACTGGACGGCGTCGCGGTTTTGTAGGCCCGGAGAATCGCCTGGTATTGGATCAAGGAAATGACGTCGTTGAGGCCGATAAGAATGCCCCGCGACAGGGCCGTGGGGGAGATGACTGATCGCTAACCAACCCCCCACACGCCCATAAAAATCGCCCGTTCCTTCCATGCAGACAGCGACACTTGAACAGAGAATGGAGAATGACATGTTGGAGCGCTTGGAGCCACGCCGGTGTAAATTCCCGCAACCCAAAAGAGGATTGGCAGGACCACAGACGTGGACTATGATGGTCCATTGTTTGGTCTTGCAGCACTTTACGAGCAGGGACAGCAAAGCTATCCCACCCGCCCAGCTCCAGCCCCTTCAGGTCGCAACAAAAGACATGTCGCGACAAGAAGGTCTTTCGAAAAAGACTCATCCGTGGAGGGGTAGCCGTGGGGCTTGAGTGGCTGGAACTGGGTGCTGCGACATGACAGACTTACCTTGATGCAATCGTGCGCCAATATGATGGTGGGGGCGCGACGCTGCGGTCTACGATCCAAGGTCATTTGCATGGTTGGTGATGTTGGAGAGGAGAGAAAGGCAGAGGCTGATTTTTTTTCTTGGGGTTTTGGCACATGGAAATGTGGATACCCCTGGCAGCTGTTCGCTTCATTGCCGCCCCGCCAGTGCTGCACAGGCGTGACTGGACCGGCCTTGGCCCAGATCAAACGCGACATCTTGGCGTCCGGTTCCCTTCATCAACAAACAAACGCAACAGAGACTCCTAGAAACGAACATTTCCTCTTTCTGTGGGCGTATTTCGCGCTTCGCAACGACCACATCAAAACCAGATGTTCGGCGAGACAGCACATGAGAGATGCCGCGTGCTAAAAGCCCGACGCCGCTCGGCTGGCACTCGACAACCATTTAAGTCCATGGCCCATTCAGGAGGGAGGTGACTGATGACCGCGTCGATATTGGATGATGCTTCCAGGTTCTTGCTCGAATATGTCGTTCGGCGACAGATCGCGGCCAATTTTTCACCAACCAGCTTGTCTTTCAACATGTCGCCATCGCCAGACACGCCAGTTTCCGCCTTCCAACTTCAAGGTCCGTCACTTCGCCCGGTTTGAGACCCGGGATCTCATCTGCAAAGGCATCTTGAGAGTGCCTGCCCATCTTCGTCGCCGGAAGCGACTGCCGCGCTGGTGCCGATGCTCTCCTTCGGCCGACCTCGATCACTTGCCTATCACAATGAGCCGGTGCAGTTTTCGGACTGCCCAAGGAGTCTCGTCCCTCATCCATCCGTCTCGTCATTCCTCAGCCAGCAATGGTCGCCAAATCTTGTTGCAAGATGGTGCTCCACGCGGCATTCTTGCTGGCGGTCATCCTCCCCCAGTTCAACGCCAACAGCAACCTCCGTGTTGCGACTGTCATCACATGCACGGAGACAATCTTGGTCACTGTTACGGAGACGGTCTGGACCAACTGCAGTCTGCCTCTCCTCTCCAGGCTCTCCTCCGCCCTGGCCTGGCCATACGGCGGATACAGGACTTTTGACCAAACAACGACGGTGAGACGACCCAGACAATTCTACTCCCAGATGCTAACTCTACAGACCGCAGAATGCCCACAAACGACCAACATTGTCCTTGCAAACGCAGTCTTGACCAATGTCACTGTGCAGCCCGCAACCTCCCCCACGTCCTGCTATGAGCTTCCAACGCCAATTGCCTCGCTCGATGTGGTCGCTTTTGCCGTCAGTCATATTACCGATAAAGATGTCGACCCCGTCCTCTTCTACATGGCAGACAATGCCACGGTTCCGGTCTACGTTGCCACCTTCATTGACGGCCACCGGGTCCTGCTCGATGTCTCTGCCAACTCGTCGACGGCTGGTCGTGTCGCACTCGCCATACCGAGAGGCGAGTCGATTGTATTTGATGAGATGGGCATCCACCACTTTGATGCCAAGTGCGACTCGGTCTTGTCCGTAGATATCGGTGGCTTCATGGAGCAGATCGCATCCATCGCATTTCCTGGCTCTCGACTGTCCAGGAGCAATTTGCGGGTGGACGACATTATCACGGGCACCGACGCAGAGTCGACCTTTTCTGTCACGATACAAGTTGACGACCTTGTTGGCAATCAACTAATGGCGCCTCAGCTGTCTTTTGGGCTGACAGCCTGCACATTGGTAGAGCAGCAGCTCGGTACAGATTGGAGCAACTTTACCTGGACGTGCGACTTTCCCGGCGCAAACAGCTCCGTCAGGCGATGTGCAAACGCCTTTGCTTCCTGGCTCTCTCCTCGACCCGGAGCGGAGAGCAGCTCCCGGTCCACGAAAGAGACGCCGCTTTTCAACCTCCTGCCGAGCTTTCTGGACGAGGCCCGCAGCCCCATCATCAGCCTTTTCCCCAACTTGAGCCAACCCCTCGGAGATGGACTAGACTGGATAGCCAAGGCACACGCTGCCGTTTTGGATGCCATGGCCGGGGGAGCCCTTGCCATGTGTTCTGCTCTCCACCAATCCGACCAGTACGGCCTCATGTTCTCAGATCCAGGACTTTCGACTCCCTACACTGTCGGCGTCTATCACTCGCCTCCCGTGCCCACCATTGTTGGGCAGGTGGCTTCAAGAACAACACTCATGACCAGAGACCCGCCAAGGCTTGTCATACCCAGCGTGACCGATTTTCCCACAGCAACTGCGACCCTATTCCCGGTGCCTGTGCTCGAAGCATCCACGGAAAATCTTGAGCATGTGGAAGAGGACACTGCCGATGATGGTGTCGGCGACGAGCCCTGGTTTTGAGAAAGGGGCTCATGCTACTGAGGGGGATCTGTGATCGCCCGGGCCGACAAGAAATTCTGGCAACCAGAATGCTTCAAGAAACCCTTCAAGTTCGATTTATGGGGGGCTGGGGGCTTTGCATTTTTCGGGACTGGTTCTATGTTGCTACAGGTGTCAGGTATTTAATACACACTTTTCTTCCGGGTCAGCATTTTGATGGGTGCGCATTTCAGCTTCTCCTCGATTGAATTGACATCGCTTTTGCCTAGACTCATCCACCCAGACTTTGCGGTCTCAACACCAAGCTGTCACATGTGCAGACGCGACTTTCCTGGGCACTGCTTTCTTTCGACCAGAACTCAGCCATCTGATCGACACCTGTCGGGAGACATTTTTGAGCCGGTGTGCCCCGTCCAGCGCCAGGGCGGGTCCTCAGCTCGGCCGACCCTCAATTCCCGAGCTAGCCGAGGTGTCGTCACCCTCCACAGCTCCACTCGACGGTCTGCGTCGCAAGCCAATTCTCCACCAAGCCATCTGCATCACGAGTCATCAACTGCAAAACTGGAGCGAATCAACATCAAAGTACAACGGCCGCGTGGCGTAATGGTAGCGTGTGGTCCTCCTACAAGAGGTTCAAGACTGAGGTTGTGGGTTCGAGTCCCATCGTGGTCGACTGTTTCTTTTTTGCTCTACCTGGGCAGTGTCTGTATTGCTGCTGCCCACGGGGCCTGGACACCACCGGACGCTTTCTCTTTTTGGCCAGCTTGGTGTCTTTTTTCCACGACGACGCTTGGTGGGTCAAGGCGCCCCGCACATGATGCTCTGGGCCTTCTGGCCTTGAGACCAATTCGCTGATTGGGTTGAGCTGCCTCGGGGCTGAACCTTGAAGAGGGGGTTGTTTTCCCGACGACCTCCGTCGTACAACATCATCCCGAGCACATCATATCACGGATCGCTGGACACTGGCACACCGCTCGTCGGATAAAAGGCACAACAAGCAGCTACATCAATGTCATCCAACGCCTCCCCGGGCAAAGGCCCTCCATGTCCCGTGTGCGAGGACCTGACAAGCTGGACGCTCACGGTCGATCATGTCAAGCTGCAGGCGTCGGCGGCGGCAAAGGATTGCGTTCCATGCATGCTCCTGCTGGAAACGCTCCGCCAGTTCGACGTTGACCTCTCCTCACTCGTCTACAGCGATGACATCCTGTCCCAGGACTTTGGGGGCCGGTGCCTGATTCTCTCCGGGGATGGATACCCCCGAGTCTTGGTGGGCGACGATCTGGACATCGAGATATACGCATCGGCTGGTCAGTTTGCCACTTCACCCGTGCCTGGACAGCAACTGACGAGCCAAACAGGAGACGACGAACCACCGCTGGGTCTCATACAAGCCACCGAGGTCAACGGCTCGACAGGATCCGATGACACCATGACCCAGATCTCAACCTGGCTGCAAAACTGCACCGACAACCACAGCGACACAAAGGGCGCCGGGTGCCCTCCCAACCTTGATGTCCCCCTCCCTACGCGCCTCCTCCAAGTCCAACCCCCCTCCGGCCCGGAGGACACCGTCCGCCTCGTCGAAACTGACGCCGGCGCCACCGGCACCTTTGCGTGCCTCAGCCATTGCTGGGGCCCCAAACCCCTCCTCCGCACCCTGACCACCAACTACGCAGCACACAAGTCCGGAATCCCCCTCTCCTCTCTGCCTCCCACCTTCCGCGACGCTATTGCCATCACCCGCTCGCTCGGCATCCCCTACTTGTGGATCGACTCCCTCTGCATCCTGCAAGACGATTCGGCAGACTGGGAGCGCGAGGCCGCGCAGATGGCGCGCATTTACCAGAACGGACGTGTGACCATCACGGCGTCCAACAGCGAGGGGTCCGACGGCGGGTGCTTCGTCGACGCCACGCCGTACCGCTCCAAGCAGCTGGTCGTCGTTGACAACAAGGGGGTGACGCACACGGCCCTTGCCCGCCGCAAGATCGATCACGGCGGCTGGCCGGTGCTTGACCGCGGGTGGATCTTCCAGGAGCGGCTGCTGTCGCCGCGGGTGCTGCACTTTGGGCACGCCGAGGTCGTGTGGGAGTGCCTCGGGGGGCTGGCGTGCGGGTGCGGGCGGGTGGGGGTGGGCGAGTTTCAGCGGTTGGACTTTATGAAGGGAAAGAAGACGGCGCAGGAGTGGTGGACGGTGTCGCCGGACTATGCGGAGCTGGCGCTGGCGGGAGAGCAGCCTAGGGGGTGGATGGTGGCCAAGTGGAGGGAGCTGGTGACGAGCTATTCACGGTTGAGGCTGACGTACCTGAAGGATCTGTTTCCGGCGCTATCGGGGTCGGCGAAGCAGCTGCAAAGGTTGAGAGGGGGGGTGCGGTACCTGGCGGGCATGTGGGAGGATACGTTGATCGAGGATCTGCTGTGGCAGGGGCAGGAGGTGTGGTCGCCGAGGCCGGAGGAGTGGCATGCGCCGACGTGGTCGTGGGCGGCAGTGTCCGGGGGCGCGTTTGCGCATCTGTATCACCGGACGGGGGTGGAGTATACAGAGTTTTGGCTGTTGTCGGACCTGACGGAGAGGTTTGTGACGGTGGAAGAGGTCGAGGTGACGCCGCGGGGGATTGATCCGACGGGAGAGATTGCAAAGGCGCATCTTGTGCTGACAGGGCCGGTGGTCAAGGCCAGGATGCGAAGGGAGTTTGGGGAGTATAGTGTCGGCGACTTGGTCAGCGTCGAGTATCAGGAGGGCGATGAAGAGGACGGGTTTGCAAAGGCGTTCAAGGTTCACTTTGACTACTCTCTCGTGGCAGAGGGGAGGGGGTTTGTGCCCAACCTGGCGGCGGTCAGCTGTCTCAAGATGGTGTCGGCAGCGGGTGACAAATTGGATTGGAGCAAGAGGGGGCAGGTGTTCTACCTCGTGCTGCGATGGGTCGAGGAGCCGGAACCTGCGTTTGAGAGAATCGGGATTGCGAGCTGCTCGATGGAAAGTGCGGCAAGGTTTGAGGAGCTGGAGGAGGTCAAGACGCTGAGGATTATTTAGGGTCATGTGGTTTGTGAACTCATCATTCGGGTGGGTCCTCTTCTCTTGGAATGCTATCTCCTCGATCTCTTGACATCCCGGATCATCCGCTCATCGCGCGGGCGCTACCTAACGTGATAGCAGGCGCGTCCAGCATGCATGAGAACTGGCGAGGAAGGTGCCGAGTGCGAGATACTGCCTGGGTGTATCACGGTGATCAGGCTGCACTATGGTTTATGGAACTGGATTGGTTGTCAGGAGCATATGGTTATCATATTGGCATTCTCGCACAGTGAGGAATGCAATACCGACAGGTTTCCCGTCCCGCAACTGCGCGTTGCATCAGCGATGTTACTTGGAAAGGGGGGAGGGTAGCATGCTGCCTTGCATATCGTCGTCGAAACTGATGAGCGCGAAGCGGCGATCTTCGGGGCGTCCATACCTACATTTGTGGGGAGATTGGAGCCCTCATTGGATGAGTCCAGCTCTGTAAGAAGGAACGACGATGCTGTGTGACACGACGGCAGGACGAGCAAGCAAACGGGGAGCAGCTGCTTCCTTGCCCTCACCGCCGAATCTCTCAACTGAGATTTCCCTCGCATCTTGCCATCATCCTGCCTTTAGTCTTTTCCTGAAGCCACCATTTGAATCGAGCTCTCCATATCGTCAAGATGGCGCTCTCTCGCGGGAACCGCTCTTCAACACAACTTTGCGGTAACTACACCGACTCCCTCCTCGCCACAGACATCCCTTCCCCAAGTGGCTTGTGTGCGGTATGCGAAAAGCTGAATTACGCCGACTTGACGACTATCCGTTGTTGCGACGGGGAGACCAAATATTCGCATTTTCACATTGGATTTCTTCAGCGCATCTTCGAGAAGGACTTCTGCCCCGGCTGTCGTCTGATTTCTTGTCTCGCCAGCTCGATGGTAGGCTTTGGGGCCGAAGACGTCAGCAAATCCCATGTCGCGATCTATCCCACTAGTCTCCATACTGTGTCAGTGGATGAAACCGGAATGCATACGCATGGCATCGAAGCATCGCTGAGCATAGTTCTCAACGCCGTTGATTTGGGGCGCCGTTCTTCTGTCAACACCAGCAATCAAAATGGAGTCACAGCCGGCATGATTATTCGACAGCAGCAAGACGAGAGCGAGCCACACCACCTACCGCGGGGGAAAGAGATGCCCGGTCCGCACGACAACGGCAGAGTCCGGGGCCTCGTCATACCGCCACGAGTCAGCATAGATCGGATCAGGCACTGGATGGCACATTGCAACACTCGACACCATGCGCATTGCAATGGCCGACCTGCACCTGCTGGCATCAAACAGCAAATCCGGCTCATCGACGTCCATGAGCGGAAAGTCGTCTTGGCCACTCTCTCCGAGGACTTTGTGGCACTCTCCTATGTTTGGGGCCCCAATGCCAGGCACATCCTGACGCAACAGAGCTACGCCCGCTGCTCGACCCCAAACGGTCTGGACCATATTACCATCCCTCAAACCATCCTGGATTCGATGCAGCTCGTCGGCGATCTCGGAAAGCGATATCTGTGGGTCGACTCTGCTTGCATTATCCAAGATGACGACAACGACAAATTCTCTCAGCTGTCCATCATGTCCAACATTTACGACTCGGCAGACATTGTCCTGGTGGCAGCAGGTGGGCAGGACGCAGATGCTGGCCTCCACGGGCTTCGAAATGCCTCTCCTCAGCGAGCGTGGCAGCGTTCAGAGTTGGTTGACGGAATCCGCTTCGTTACGGTCCAACCCGGCATCAGGGATGTTGTTTCGCGAACAAAATGGGACAGTCGAGGCTGGACGTTCCAGGAATGTGCCTTTGCCCGGCGCGCGTTGGTCTTTACCGACAACCAAGTGTACTGGGCTTGCCACGAAGAGACGTGGCATGAAGATCTCACCAGCGATTCCAACCCAGCGCCACTTATGCCAACCGCGGCAGATTCGCTGCAGTATTACGACGGAAACTTGGCGTACGGTTCGATAAGGAAACCGTGCCGAACGTCGATATATTGCTCCAACGTCAGTGAGTTCTCCAAGAGGATATTCACAGACCAGAGAGACGTCTTGTGGGCATTCATGGGTGTTCTCGAACAACTGGGGCGGCGGTTCCCGCGGGGGTTCATCTGGGGACTCCCGTACGAGAGGCTCGATGCTGCCTTGCTGTGGGTGATACCACAGGCATCCTGCTCCGGGGGGGGACACACTCGAGAAACGAAGCACACGGCCGTTATTGGGGAAACTCGACACTCGATCGCGTTCCCGTCCTGGTCGTGGCTCTCTACCGAAACGCCAGTCTCATTCACGGACCCATGTGGCTCCTCGGTCAGATCTGACGTGTCCTGGCACGACCCGATCAGGTTCCAGTCCACCTCCAATGGCGTCGTATATCAGGACGCAAGCGCCGACGCCCTAAGCCGCCTCGGTGGCAACCACACCGAAGATACCTCCAAGTTCTTTCCCCCACCATCCTTGGTGATGGAATATGGGGTTCTGGACTTTACCGCCAGCACGGGGCGTGTCAGAGTGACGCGGAAGCCCAGATTGAAGCAGGAGTCGGACTCTTGGCTCGACCCTGAGGAAAAGGAAAAACACAACAATCCGAGGATCGTCTCTTATATTCACACTCTGGATGG